ATTGCCCACAATTGTAGATAGACATAGGCATAGTTACATCCAGCTCTCCTGATTTCACAACAGGCAGAGCTTCTGGCAGTGGTGGGCATTTGTTACGCAGCTCTCTAGGTGGACCTCTTCAAGTAGCCCCAGGAGAACTGTAGAAATGGTGCTGTTAATGATCTATAATTACTTGGAGCAGTTTGTAAATATATGCAGATCAAAGAATGATTTTACTAGGAGATGAAGGAGAGTTATAGCAGGGGTTGGAAAACTAGGAGGTGCAGCACCAGGCTGCACTTGCGTACAGGCGCTTTAAGCTGTTATGTAAACTGCTACAGTTCTTGCACTGACTAATATATCATAAATTAGCTATAGCCAGTAACAGTGGCAATGTTGGACATCAAAGCACAATCAGGTCATGGTCTGATTCTTGCCCACTTTTATATACATTCACTTTCAGGTTTCCAGAGCACAACCAAGGGTGCATATTTAATCACTTGCTACCCAAGACAATTATGACGTATCTCCCATACATGTAAATATCTACATTTTTTGTTTACAAAAAAAAGTACAACGCTACCTTTTGTTTATAAATGTCCATAAACAGTTCGAAAAGCTGCAGGATCCAATATTTCACTCCAAGCTATATAGTTCATAAAAGTTACACCGCTAAAATTTCATGGTGATTCTTGATCCCCAACAAACACCCAGAGCTCAGTGCTCAGCAATATGCTTGCACAAAACTCTTACCAGAGATGAATGACCATTACATTATAACCCTTTATGCGCTGTTAGACCATTTATAGATTCCTAATCTCAGCCATACCAAGACTCAGGTTATCCATACATAGAGGCTATAAATCCCAGGTCTCAACTACATCAAAAACCAAGTGTCCACACATGAAAGTGTCTCAGTAGTGTAAAGAGAAAGACAACTCACATAGGGTAATAGAGTTAAAAATGAAGCCTATTTTATTAAAGTGAGTTTTGCACATATTACACAGCTGCATACAGTAACACATAGCAAGCCATTCAATTGCCAAAGGATTCCAACAAGGCCGACTTCCGGCAGGTGTGTACATGCGTGATGACGCCAATGTTCACCTTATGAGCAATTTGTTTATGGTTGAAAAGGTGCTCTTTTCAATCATTTGTTGTCATATGTACAGAGATTCTTTATTTTTTTCAAATTCTTTAGGTGCTGTCTTAAAACATAAATGGCTGGAAAGTGATGTTATTATAAATATTTTCTTAGTATTTGTAATTGTGGATGTCAGGAATAAGTGTATGCCAAATTTATGCATGGTCAGCATTAAATTGACAGAAAAGGTTTACCTTGTTAAAAAATAACAAACATGTTATACTTGCCTGCCCTGGGCAATGGTTTTGCACAGAGCAGCCGTGATCCTCCTCTTCATGGGTCCCCAGCTGGCACTTCTATCCCCCCTTCCCCGCTGAGTATCCACCATTGCAAGCAACTTGCTATAGGGGCGCTCATGTGTGCTTGCACCTGAGCCAACTCTGTGTGTCCAAAAGACACACAGAGAGGGGCTCAACCCCTGCCCCTTCCGCATTGGATGTGATTGACAGCAGCCAATGCTCCCTGCCTCTACGTCTCAGCTAATGAGCAGAGAGCCTCTGATCTCGTTCATGTCATTGGATTGAGATTGGTCTTAGGTAAGTATTGGGGGGCTGGTGGGGGAAGCTGCATGCAGAGAATGCTTTAAGGTAAAAAAACTTTCTGCCTTTAGAAACACTTTAAATGAACATTCAATTTAAATCAGATAATCCATTCCAGGTGCATCAAGTCATACAGCTTTTTTTCTTTAGAATGCAGCCATAGCCTGAGTAGAAGTCTGTCCTCTGCCGATATAGAGAAAGACCTCTCTATGATTTGCTGAGGTCTGACATGCTCTGCAATCAGCAAACCTCATGCTTCCTCCCGATTGGAGAGATCTAACTCTTACTCAGCAGGGGCATCTCGGACCTCTGTTTGGAATCACTGCTTCCTAACAACAAACAGAAACATAGAAAATTGACGGCAGAAAAAGATCGAGTGGTCCATCGAGTCTGCCCATTTTTGGGGGTTTTTTTTGCGTGTTTTCTTTTTCTTCTTGTTGGTTTCTGTTTTTGTTTTTTTGGGGGTCGTTTTTTTTGTTTTTTTTGTTAACTTTTTTGTCTGAGCATAGATCTATACTTTGTCCCAAGCATGATTGAAGCTATTTACTGAGAAGGGTCTGCTTAGGATGTAACAGCTTTTAAGGCTACGTCCACACTAGCTTTGTAAGCAGGCGTCAGACAGGCATTTGGGAAGTGTTTTTAACGCTTCTCAAACACCTAGGAAAATTCTGCACATGGCAGCACACAGTGCTGTTCACACAGAAGTTTTAGTGTCGCGGCAAACCTGACGCCTTGTGTGGAGTCAGGAGGAGTTGAAGCCTCCCATTCAAGTCTATGGTGCCACTCCTCAAATGGCTGACAGGCGTTTGTGGTGTGGTTGCGAGTCGTTGCGGAGCGTTAACACCATTTAACTTCATTATAAGCATTTGTGGTTCGGTTTTAACGCTTGGCAAACGCCTCAAACCGCCTCAAAACCGCGCATAGGGCATTTGGGGAGCGTTTGGGGAGCATTTGAGGAGCATTAAAAATGCTTCCCAAACGTCTGTCTAACGCCTGTCAAACGCTATAGGGGCGTTTGGCAAGAGTTAGAAATAAAGTCATGTGAACGAGCCCTAAGAGCTGATTCACAAATGTGCGGTGTGGAATAAAGCTCAGGTATCACAGCTAATTGATATAATAGTTTTTCACAGGTTCACATCAGGTTTACGTCAGGTTCACGACAGGATTAGATCAGGATCTTATCCTGTTCACACATATGCGGCTTAGAAACAATTCCCATAGAATTCAATAGCCTGTAATCCACACCTGAACCTGACCACACTGAATCCACACTGCCAGTGCACTGGACATATATGAACAGGCACCATAGGAAGCAATGTTTTTTCACGTCATGCAGATTGGATGTGGTTCAAACCGCATCCAAACCGCATATACAGTATGTGAACTGGCACTAAAGAAAACAAACTGAAGACATTGCACACCTATTGTTTTGTTGCACCTGAAAAGTGTTTAAATTGAAAGTTCAGTTGCACTGCGGTTTATAAAGTATTTAAAAAAGTTTCGAACATTTGACTGATATAATCTATATTGAATATTGTAAAGTACTGTATATCTCAACACCTAAGAGACAATCATCCAAAATGCTTGGCAACTAGATCATAAGCAAACAGAATCCTAGAACACAAGAAAACCAAAATATAATTGCTACAAGGGTATCTTATATGTTACTTTCTTTTTACACGCCTATTTTCAGTGGACAGCATACTGGACATATTTTTGTTTTTATATTAATAAAAACTGTTTTCTTCACTTCCACTTCTACTTTCTCTACTTCTACTTCTCCTGTTTGCTTTATACTAATTATTAACCTATCCGGTTTGCCCTGGAATTTAACTAGACAATGGAGTTGATTTACTAAAGTAGATTCTGTTCACTTATCTAGGTGAAAGTTCACTTAGCTTAGTGAACAAGGTGAACTGATGCTGATTTCAATCATCCAATCCTGTGTTTGTTATGTGACTCAACTGTTATATTATTATTTTATTTAAATTGAGTCATACCTGTAAGGCCCCATTCACACCTGAGCATAGCAGGAACACACATTCCTGCTCGCATTATTTGTGCGTTTTTTTACACGCTAATGCACGTCGTGCCTAGGGCTGCCCATCCACATGAATGGGCTGCCCAAGTTACAACAAACACCCCAGAGTAGCTCCAGTCCCTTTTTAGTCATGGGGCATCTGGCGCCTTATCAGTGGGGGTTTTGATGCATTTGTTTTTTCATGCGGAAAAAACACGCATCTGCTACCCGCACTTGCCATTAACAATGGCAGCATGTTTGCAGTGTGTTTCTGATACGCGTGCCAAAATGCAGATTTTGGGTGCTTTTTCATGCATTTGGGAAACACGCAGGTGTAAATGCAGCCTATATGAAGAATGTACAGGATCACCTTCCTTCTGTCCATGGTGCCGAATGCCACTCAGTTCTGAAAATCTTGTGTAGAAGTCTTCAGGAAAACTGATGATTCCAGCCTTGTCAGTCTCATGAATCCCCACATTTCTCACTGGTTTCTCCTGCTGACTTCCATGTCACTACTGTATTATGACATATGCTTAGGTCATCAGGCTTCCTATGAAGGCTTTTCATGTGCAAGCAGCAGGAAGGGTACTGTATATACACTCTTCTTTTACAGGTGCCTTGATTTAAAAAATGTGGTGTACCAAGAGAGTCACATTCATTTTCCTTGCACATGATTCCATATTCAAAGTGAACTCAGTTTTGCTGTATTTACTAAACTAAAAGTAAAAATGCTCTTTGCTAAGTGAACAGCCGCTACTAGCCGTTACTTTAACCACTTGCCAACCACGCTATAGCCAGATGGCTGCTACAGTGCGGTTGTCCAGTTCTGGGAGGGCGTCATATGACGTTGTCCCAGAACGTGTCTTCCCGCACGCCCCCAGGGGGCGCACACCAGGCAATCTCCATGATCGCTGTGTCCTGTGGACACAGCTGATCACGTGATGTGGTAAAAGGCCAATCACAGCGGCCTTTTACCACATGATCAGCCGTGTCCAATGACACAGTAGATCACCGGTAAATGTAGTTGCCGGTCATCGGCTGCACTTTCCTCACGCTGTCACAGCGTGAGGAAAGTACTGCCGATAACTGTCAATTGTCAGAGGACGGATCAGCATCGATCATCAGGGCACTGATCATCAATGCCCTGATGATCAGTGCCCAGCAGTGCCACCCACCAGTGCCGCCCACCTGTGCCCAGCAGTACAGCTCACAAATGCCCAGCAGTACCACCCACCTGTGCCCAGCAGTGCCACCCACCTGTGCCAATCAGTGCCTAGTAGTGCCACCCACCTGTTCCCAGCACTGCCACCCACATGTGCCCAGCAGTGCCCCCCATGAGTGCCACCCATCAGTGCTGCCCAGCAGTGCCACCCACCAGTGCCCCGCAATGCCCCCATCAGTGCCACCCATCAGTGCCGCCCATCAGTGCTGCGCAGCAGTGCCGCCAGTCAGTGCCCAGCAGTGCTGCCAGTTAGTGCCACCCATCAGTGGCGCCTATCAGTGCCTATCAGTGCCTATCATTGTTGCATATCAGTGCAGCATCATCAGTGCCGCCTCATCAGTTCGAGTTCCTCAGTGCCACCTATCAGTGCTGCCTATCCATGCCACCTCATCAGTGCCCATCAGTGCTGCCTATCAGTGCCCATCAGCACTACATATCAATGCTGCCTATCAGTGCAGCCTCATCGAAACACATCAGTGAAGGAGAAAAATTACCTGTTTGCAAACTTTTATGATAGAAACAAAGAAAAACTTTTTTTTCAAATTTTTTGCTCTTTTTTTTGTTTATAGCGCAAAAAATAAAACACCCAGCAGCAAGTAAATACCACCAAAATAAAGCTCTATTTGTGTGAAAAAAGTGATAAAAATTTAATATGGGTAAGTGTGGCATTACCGCGCAATTGTCATTCAAAGTGTGACAGCGCTGAAAGCTGAAAATTGGCCTGGGCAGGAAGGGGATATAAGTGCCCGGTAGGCAAGTGGTTAATAACCACTTGCCAACCAGTCACATACTTGGCACGTCACCGGTCTCCCAGTGGTTGTAGTGGGATGATGCCTGAAGCTGCTGGCATCATCTCGGTACCGTTTTTTAGAGCTTGCGGTTGGCTGTTTTGTAATAGCAAATAGAGTAGCTAAATAGCCTCTCAATTGCTATTACATGCAAAGGGGAGGGGACGACCCCCCCTCCCACCACCTTCTGGGGCCTTCTCGGGCTCTCCTGTCTCTTCGGGAGACCTGAGAAACCAGCCGATGTGTCTACTGACTGGTCGGACAGCCGAACAAAGCCGGGATCGCTATGGTAAACCAGAAGCGATGACCTGACATCCTTTTCAGGTTACCAGGATATAAACAGCACCATTTTTAAAAACGCAAAAACATTATTGGCGTTTTGAATGCATTTAAGTGCAGAGCAGGGACCCCAGCTCCCTCCATAAAGAGTACTTGTCACATGCTTGTTGCTTTCACAAAGATGTTTACATTCCTTGTGACAGCAATAAAAGTGATCCATAAACATTTACAGCATCAGTGTAAAAAAAAAAAAATTCATATGTAAAAAAAAAAAAGTGCCCCCGCCCACCCTGTGGTCACGTGCAAAGGCCAATGCATGTGTCGGTCCCACGTGTACGTGAACAGCCATCATCCCACACGTGTGGAAATATTGCGAACGTCAGATCATTGGCAGTAATTCTACTGTAGTGCTATACCTCCTCTGTAAATCTAAAGTGGTAACCTGTAAAGGCTTTTAAAGGGTCACCTGTGTAATGTAAAATGTATGTCGTTTGTTGCCTTTGCATGGGTGTGCACAATTTTAAAGCATGCCATGTATGGTATCTATTTACTTGGAATAATGTCATCTTTTATATGTCATAAAAAATATGGTTACGTATTGTGTTTTTTGCATTAAAATTAAAAAAAAAAAAGTCTATTTTTTTCCAAACAAATTGCGTTTGAAAAACCATTGCGCAAATACCATGTGATATAAAAAATTGCAAAACCAACCAATTTATTCTCTAGGGCCTCTGCTTTAAAGAATATATAATGTCTGGGGGTTTTAAGTAATTTTCTAGCAAAAAAAAATAAACCTAATTGTGACGTGAATAAAAAGTGCCAGAAAAAGCCACAGTAAAGGGTTTACTGTTGTGCTTCATCCCTACATATATATATATATACATCTTTTTTTTGTAAACAGCATATACAGTACATTTCAAATACAGTAGTTTGGGCATTTTTGCATTGTATAACCCCTTCACGCCGGCGCTTCCCGGCCCTTTAAGGGTTCCAGAAGCCAGGAGGCAGGGCGGGGTTTAGGGTCATGTGACAGCTGTGATGCGCCATCACGGCGGTCACATGATCGGGAATGGTCCCGATCAAAAGAGGAGATCGGGACCTTTCCGTGAGTACCGGATATGTGTGCTGGGAGCGTGCAGGGGGTGCGCTGTCGGCACATATGTCCTTTTTTAATAGAATGCAAATGTGTGCAGCCGCTCGGCGTCTAGGCCCAGAGGCCTGGAGGCCGCACATTTGTGTGCGGCTGGCGTGAAGAGGTTAAAAGCTACATGATGTAATCTGGAACTCAATACTTTAAGTTAAATTAAAAAAGGACTGGATTCTTTCTTGGATACACAGAATATGACTGGATACTAACATTTATAGGTAAAGTTGATCCAGGGAATATCCGATTGCCTCTTGTGGGATCAGGAAGGAATTTTTTCCCCTGCAATTTGGATAATGCATTGCTGTTTTTTTTTTTGCCTTCCTCTGGATCAACTGTGGGTGTAGGATTATAATTTTTTTTTTTTTTCATGGCTGAACTGGATGGACTTTTGTCTTTTTTTCAGCCAGACTAACTATGTAATACAATATACCTGTGACAAAACCAGGACATCCCACCAGTATAAAGGTTCATTGTGAGTTTAAAAAAAAAAAAAAAAACATTTTACAATGAAAGAGAGATAACTGTTCACCTTGTTTTGCGGTTGTGTTCTTTTGTAGGATCCTGGGCAGATCGATCCCCACTGCATGAGGCAGCCAGCCAGGGACGTCTACTTGCTCTGAAAACATTGCTTTCACAAGTAGGTATTAATTATTATACATTAACATGCCCATCAAAAGTAATGTTTTATAAGTGTTCCTTCACACCAGTGCTTTATTGCAGTTCATGGGCCATTAAAACCACACTGAAATTTGATGCCTGTGAGAAAATAAAATGAGTATAAAGAGCAATTCTTGCCCATAATGACCAAACATCTTTCATCTTTAATTTAGGGAAAATAAAAATGGAATCTGAATCAAATACTCTTTTAGTAAATTAATACTTTCTAGGGTTATTTGAACTTCTGCCTCCTAGCTTAACCACGTCAGCTATGAAAGGTTTTACCCCCTTCATGACCAGGTCATCTTTTGCTATTCAGCACTGTGCTATTTTAACTGGTAATTGCACGGTCCTGTATGTTGTACTAAAATTTATATCAAGCTTTTTCACACAAATCGAGCTTTCTTTTGGTGGTATGTGATCACCACTGGGGTTTTTATTTTTTATGATATAAATGAAAAAAGACTGAAAATTTGGAAGAAAAACAACATTTTTCTATTCTCTGCTATAAAATATATCCAATTAAAAAATTAAAAAATCTAATTTGCTGCTGTATGTCTTTGATACAAAAAAAAAATCTTAATAAGTGTATATTAATTGGTTTGCGTGAAAGTTATAGTGCCTACAAACTATGGTATATATACTGGAATTTACATTTTTTTTTTTTACTACTAATGGCTGCGATCAACAACTTATAGTGGGACTGCAATTGTGTGGTGGGAAATCTGACACTAACGGGTGCTGGGGAGAACTGGCTAACTGCCACTGACATCAACAGCGATATTTTTACAGTGATAATACTATACACTGTCACTGAATCAATGATGCTGGCTTGGAAGGGGTTAACATCTAGGGTGATCAAGGGGTTAAATGTGTGCCTAACTATGTGTAATGTGTGAAAAGTGTGCTGCTTTTACTTTCAGTTTCTTTGCAGGGATGAGAAACTGACAGATTGCTCCCTCTGTACAGAGATCTGAGCTGTGCTTGCACATAGCCAGTCAGCAGGTCCCGGACGTAAATCAATGGCCAGGACTTACTGACAGGCTCCCGCTATGTGCAATCACAGTGGGTGCCCGGGGGGGGCGCTCATGCCCAAAGCCTGGAAGTAGGCAGCGAAGTACAGGTTTGTCACTTTGCCTACAGCGGTCGCCAAGTGGTTAAGGTCATGTCTCCTTGTTCATGATCATGTGTCCATATTGAAGATACTGCCCTTCTGAACCTTATTCACACCCTTAGTATATTTAAGGTTTCAATCATGGCCCCCCTTTCTCTTTTTTTCTCAAAGTGTAATTCCAGTCAAAACTAAAATAAAATCTACTTCCATTCTAATCTTATTCTTTCTACCCTGTAAAAGGAAAGATGCTATACTTATCAATTCTGAAATCCTTCAGGTCCGGTCACATGATCGGAGTCCTGCACCGCTTTAGTGTAAAGCAGGGAATGCCAACAATGGATGCCCTATAGTAAGCCTATGGGTGAAGTCATCACCCAGGCTCTGCAGCTGTTATCTCTGCGCTCTCCTCTACAGTGAAGCTGCCACTGTAGAAATCTTGTGACCAGACCAGACAACCTCAGAACAGGTAAGTATAGACATCTTTTCTTTTACAGGGTAGATAGAATAGGCTTAGAATGGGGGTGGGAGTAGATTTTAGCGTAATTAGATTTTGATTGGAATTAAATTTTAAGACTCTACATATCAAGTTGCACATTATTGTAGTAGAAGTATAGGCAAAGTTTTTTTTAATTTTGGATAGAATAAGAGAAGGTTGTTACCCGTCATTTTTTTTTTTTTTCTTGCCACCTGTGTCCCATTGAAGAACATCTTCACTTCCTGTCCCGTAGCCAAAACAGGAAGAGAGAGGAAATCCCTGAAAATTATGGGAATCCCTTGGATCCTCCAAGGCCACCAGAACTAGTATCCCTATTGAACGTTTTCCCCTCTATTACTGTTTGCTGTCAACCCAAAACTTGTGATTTTATGTTACTTTTACTTTCAGTGATAATGGTGAAATAGAGAGGTTGAATTCTCCTAAGGAGGGTCACAGTCAGCAATGAAAACCAGGCAGAGGTTCTAACCACTCTCCACTATGTTAAAAAAAAAAGCTATACCTTTAGTTATACCTTAAGTTGCACATTATACACCTGTGCCGTCTTATCAATATCTTTTTGTAAGTGAGGTCTCCAGAACTGGACAAAGTATTCAAAATGAGGTCTAACAAATAGATCTATATTGGAAAATCAGGACATCTTTCCTCCTACTGGTAAGCCCCCTAGAGATGCACCCAGTATGCTATTTACTTTCCCCACCGCCTGGGCACAGTTTGCTCATTTTGCAATTATCTGAAATAAGCACCTCCAGAGTGGCCAACACTGCACTACTAATATTGTCCTCTATTAGAGGCATTTTCCCCTTAAGTACATTAATTTTGTATTTTGAGATGTTGAACTACAGTTTCCAGTGATTTGACCCATATTCCAGCAATGCCAAATCATGTTCTATGTTGCACCTTCAGCAATGTCAAACCTATTGCACACCTAGGCTATAGCCGGCAGCGCTGATTGAGCAGAGATGTTCCAACAGGGTGGTTGTGCAGCAGTTGGTTGGTAGATTGACTTCTATACAACTACCCTGCCCATGCATGGATCAAAATTCGGCCAGTCCCAGCTGAACCCAGCGAATTTCAATCCATGTAAAGTAATACAGAGAGTCATTTCAGAGCTTACTGAGCCTAAAAGAGGGCAAATTGTTGGTGCCCGCTGAGCTGGTGCCTCTGTGACTGAAGTTGCCAATTTATTTGATGTGAAGACTACGGTTGAGCTCCGCAGTAACTTTTGCAGCAGTTGTTTCCTTATTCCGGGTCACGATCCTGCACAATGTCCTTTTATCTTTTTTGTTCAGTTGACCATGTCGACCTCTCCTAAGCTTATCAGACCACGATTTCCTGGAAACTGTATATGCCGTCATAACTTTTAAATACTGTACCTCGCGACACAGCAAATACATTGTCAACTTTAGTCACAGAGGCACCAACTAAGCAGGCACCTACAATTTGCCCTCTTTGAAGCTCAATAAGCTCTGATATGACTCCGTATTACTACCGGTAGCAGCGCACGCAGTGAATGATGAAAGTAAGGCTTCCCACCTGTTAGCTAGGTGTCTCATCACACAGCGGAAGCAAAAGAATGTTACATCACTTTCATTTTCAACACAAAACATGTGGTCACTTTCACACTTGCAAATCATGTAGAGTTTCCATTTTTTTCATCTAACCCCTGTCCAGATATATTTTAAGATCTATGGCCATCTTTATGCAGAGATTTTAGGCACACAAGTGACTGATTTTACCAATAAACACACATACAATTAAAAAGTGGTCAGGAATGTGTTTTACATCTGCCTAGTGCTACTATTAAACAGAAGAGGTGGGGGAGGTTTAAGTGAAACAGCAATCTCGTCTTTCTTATCTTTTTCTTCTGTTTTGTACTGCCTTCCTGTGCTCCAGGATTAATTAATCACTGTGAATGTACTGATATCTAGTTGACTGTAATGTGCAATTTTTACCTTTAGGGTTACAATGTCAACATTTTAACTATTGACCATGTGACCCCACTACATGAAGCCTGCCTGGGGAGATCATGTTGGATGTGCAAGAACTTTGCTGGAAGCTGGAGCACATGTAAGTTTTGTAATGCAACAATACAAGTCAGTGCATTGAAGCACAGTTTGAATATACATGTGACGGAGGAAAGGCAGGACAGAACACACAGAGTGGATGGCACACGCACAAAGCTTTATTGAGACAGACGGCAGTCCTTCAATACGGGGGTGGCAGAGAGGGTGGATTTGCCACTAAATGGTAACGAGGGGGCCCCACCCACTTATAGTCCACTAGGAGAGCCAAGGGGGTGTCCCTGTAACAGGGACAGTCCGACACAGGAGAGGGGTGCGAGTAGTCACCACCGCAACAGTTCAGGTAACACAGTGGGGAAGCAGGTACTCACGGATCCAACAGGGTGCCTGGTCTCCCAGGGGTAGAAGCAGAATGCAGGTACCTGTGGAGTCCAGATCAGGTGGGTGGCCTCTGGCTCTGGCAGACGGGCTGTGGTAGTCTCTCCCCCTTCTGTGGGGTCTCTCGCAATCGCAGGCAAGCTTTCTCTGGTTGTCTCTTCCCTCCTGTGGGGTCTCTGTGAGGCTGGGGTTAGGCTTGCAGAGTCTAGTCCCAAAGGTTGAGATCCTTTGCAGACTACACACCGGAATGAATAGGAGCTCCCAGCATCCACCTCTTAAACTGCTGCAGGATGCTCCCCGGTCGCCTTGGCAACCAGGAGGGGGAAGGGAACACTAGACCCCAGAGAGAATCAGGCTGATGACAGGGACATCCTGGGAGGAAAGGGATGATGTCTGCATAGATGAAAAGCAAGTTGGGAGGTGTTTCAGAGAGCTCCCAGCCAGCTGGCTGGGAGGGAGGGGGCCCAGAGCAATTTGATTTGGCCATTTGGCCTAGTGACACAGGGGACAATTGGAACAATACAGAGCAGGACACTGAGGGCATGTGATACAAGGCATTAATAAGGGGATTAATAATTGGCAGGCTCCCATACCGTGACAATACAGTTGAAAGAGTTTTATTATGTCTATTGGAGAAGTGCACAAATGACCCACTGGTCTAACCAGAAATCAGATGAGCCCCATACTTCCAGTACACTCTGCGCTGCACTAAAATCTTAAACTGTGTAATCAGCCTTGCCAAATTCATCTCTGTGAAGTACAGAACACCTCCCCCTCTGTTGTGTAGTCCAAATCGGGGACAAGCAGCTTAGGGTTAACACACTGGTCCACTATAGATGCAACACAGGGGGGTAGATTTACTAAAACTGGAGTGTTCAAAATCTGGTGCAGCTGTGCATAGAAACCAAGCAACTTTCAGGTTTTATTTAAAGTTTAATTGGACAAGCTGAAGGTAGAAGCTGATTGCCTACCATGCACAGCTTAGTAAATCCCCCCCAGTGAGTAAGCATCGTTACCCTAGGACAGCAAGTGTGCTATTCAATTACCATGTGAAAATAAAGGGAAAAAAATAAAGGGCTAAAAAAAAAGAAAACAAATGAATCTACACCATTTAAAGACTGGTAAGCTGCATTATATTAAACTTTTGTTCTTGGGTTTACTTTAAACCACTTGACGACCATAATACATATATAAACGTTGCGGTTTTCAAGTGGTTTACTGGGATTATGGCTGAAGAAATCAGCCATAAATCGGTACCATATTGCTCAGTGGACAGCCAGCTTTCACATGAAAGTGGTCCTAGTGGTTCTGGAGCCGCTGGATCGCTTTCCTTAGTGGCGGAACGGGAAGTGTCCCACCGATTGTCTGTGTTTCTCAGGCTTACCGCTAATTCCGGCTGACCTGAGAAATGATCTGACAGTGTGGCCTCCTCAAGATGATGGCAATGAAAGACTCTATGGTTTTTGATTGCAGCTATCATGATGGAGGACCGGAGCGATCCGGTTGCCGGCGCAAGTGAACAAAGTTCAAAACATTTCTTTTGATTTTGCTTTTAAAGGTAAAGAAGAGGTTTGGTGTCTTTTTGACTTCAAATCTCTTCATAAAGAGGACCCACCATGCATATTTATATTACAAGGGATGTTTACATTCCTTGTAATAGGAATAAAAGTGATGTTTAAGCGCCCCCATCGCATCGTGCTCGCACACATACGTGAACGCATATGTAAATCGCGCACACATATGTAAACATCTGGAAACCCTGCTGACAGCTGAAACATTAAAGAATGTCTTCAATACTAAAATACCGCATGCCTTAATAATATAACTTATGTGGTATTTTAGTAGCTGAGCAGTATCTTACCACATACTCAGATGCAGTAAGATACCACTCAATAAATTGTCCCTGTTCGAAGTTCGTGGTCAGTACGTTAGAATATTTGACCGCGAATGAACAGGGGTGTGTTTGGCCCATCACTACAGATAAGTATAACATGTTTGTTATTAAATAAAAATCCCTTTACAATCACTTTAATTCTTGTAGTAAAGCCCTTGTCTCTACTCTACTCCAGTCTGTTTCTACTAAATTTGGGAAATACCCTTGCTGTTTAAAATTTTCCTGCAGCTGGCCGTGGTCTTTTAATTCTTGTGTTACCCATGCTAGTACTTTTTCTCTTGTACATTTCAACTAATTCTCCCTATTGTCATGCTGCTGGACAATTTTACACTGCTTTATCATGCTTGGTCTCCTGAATCTTAATGACAGCTTATTAGAAATTGGCCAATTGAAAAAAGCCTTATGTGCATTAGATTTGGGGCAGTGCTGCTGATGTATGTAAGCCAAGCTTAAAGATAAAAAAAATGATTGCTAAATATATGCTGCCTGTGTACTCTGTTGCTAAGACTGTCCTTGAAAATTGTACTCTTCCCAAATACCACAGACAATTTTAAAATGGTCCTAAGGGCTTAAGGCTTTTTTACCGTAAGGCATTTTATGCATTATGGTAAAAAAAACCTTATGGATGCAGCTCCCATCCAGTTTCCCCTTATATTTACCTGGGCCCCATCTTGATCCAGCAATGTGCATGAGAGCAGCGGCTCTCCTGGCTCTATCTCTCCTCACTGGCTCACACAGCAGAGGGAGCCATTGGCTCCTGCTTCTGTCAATCACTAATGAGGAGTGAATGGACACATAGAGCCTGCTCGAGTGCCCCCATAGCAAAAGGCTTGCTATTGGAGGCACTTGGAAGAAGGTAAGAGCCAGAACCACTGGCAGGGAACCCAAAAAGAAGAGGATCAGGGCTGCTCTGAGCAAATCCATTGCACAGAGCAGGTAAGTATTGTATTTTTTTTTTTTTAATTCTTCCCTTTAGAATCACTTTAAGCAAGCCTCCAAGCATGTTATTTAAGAGTTTGTGTATTTTTAATTTTGTCCATGAAACCACATGAAAATACACTCAGTATTGTACGTTATTTTTAGAAACCTTTTTCTGCATTGGTACATGTCCCCTATGGCAGTATCCAGCATCCTATATGTTTTTGAGAGTAGTTGCCTATTAGCTCTAAAAATGGGCAGAATTTAACATAAAGATTAGCTTCCCATAGACTTCAGTAGGATTTGCCTCCAGGTTCAGGTTCAAACCCTTTGAGATTCCTCAAACCCTTGGTGAATCAAACCCAGGCAGACTCTCCTATCACTACCTCAAAGTAAGCACATAGGTTCCTTTAAAGTTCAGTACTTCATGTCTATCCCAAGACATCCTTTGATATATTTTAGGTGAATGCTACAACTATTGATGGAGTGACTCCTTTATTTAATGCATGTTCAAGAGGCAGTGCAAGTTGTGTGGAGCTGCTATTGGAATACGGTGCAAAGGCGCAACTGGAGACATGTCTTCCTTCAGCTGCTCATGAGGCAGCAAGTAAAGGTAAATTGAATCTTGAAATAGACAGATCATATTATCATATCATGTCATATCATGTTTGTGTATGGCTAAATTTATTTGGAGTAAACATGCATATTTTACACTAGTAAAGCTGTACTTTAGGCAGAGGGCTAAATAAACAGTTGATACACACAAACACACAAACTATACAAGAACTGCTTTACCTTCAAACGCATTTGTAGTTCTTTTTAGCCAGTCTTGTTATCCAGACACTTCTACCAAACAAAGGACCAACTGTTGGACTTCCCTACGCACTACACTGCAGCAATGCAGTCTAGCCTGAAACCCATGAATGCATTATGGCCTAGAACAGTGTTTCTTAATCTTTTTTCAGTCAGGGCACCCTTTAAAATTATGGACAGTCCCAAGGCACCCTTTAAAATTATGGACAGTCTTGAGGCACCCCATTCTAAAATGTGAAAAACTATTCTAATAATTTTATATTTCACAGCAACATCTGCACACTGGTACTGACTAGTATTCCAGTGTTTCTCTTCTCCCTCAATTTTTATCCAACACTGAGCTAATGTGACCCCAGCACTGATGGAGAGGGGCAGGGGAGGGTCAAACTAGGATGCTGTGCAAGCAGCTGACATCCTTCTTATCAACTGATGTCATTGGCTGTCAGGACACTGGCGGCTAGCTGTTCGTAATGCTGCACAATGAAAACCTGTGACCTTGTGTAACTAAAAGGCAGGCTTTTTTTGAACCTGCTGACTTGTATACAAGTTTTTTAGCACTTCTTAGACATTTTGCCAGTGCACCCTTGAAGAAACCTCAACCTGGTTGAGAAAGGCTGGCCTAGAATATATGAATAAACCCATCCCATCTTGTTAATAAACAATGAAGGAGCAGCAACAAACCAATGACATTATCTCTCAGCTTTCAACTCCTGCATGTTCATTGTTAGACTGACAGCAGTGGGAAGTGCAGTAGAGCCTGGATTGGTTCTTAGGGCCCATGCACAATAAACCGATTACACAGTTCACCGTAGTGGTTTACTGTGCGCCAGTTGTCTTTTCCAACTGCAGTGAGCCAACGGAAGGGACTGGTGTGGTGCACAATTCAGCGCATCACTCAGCTCCATCTTTTTTTCTTTTTTTCAAACTAACTTTATTTGAATTGCACAAAAGTGACCCTTCATTCATGTCACTGTACAGCAGTGCTAGTAGGGAGCGCCCGCCGTGCAAAAGAAGTGGGAGACAAGGGGGAACCCATGTTCCTCAGACACCTCCATAGTTATCATCAGGGGAGCAGCTGTCCGATTGGACGCTTCTGCCCTGGCTGATCCCCGCAGCCATCGTTAGTGTGAGCAGTGCTAATAGATAGCACTGTCCCCCTCAAGTTGATGTGCATTTTGCAAGTGGCTGGGTTAGGGACAGAAACCCCCCCCCCCCCCAGTCTGGTGGCTAGAGAAGACAAATCATTAGCTTCTGTGGAGGAGGGGCAGACGAGGGACCGACATTGTGCTCTGGATAGTAGCCTCCCTGTTTTAAGTACCCGTAGTGGTCTGCCTCTGTCGGTTGCTATCGGATGTGAACCTGGTGTATAAATAACTGCTGTGTGATTCATTGTAAGTGCTCCAGCCTGGTGTGGTCGTATGTACACCACCTGTTATACTTCTGCAATACCTTCATGTTAAAATTTTTTGCTGCACTCCTGCTCCTCGTGTGAGGTCTCTAACCCAGCAGACATTGAGCATTAAGCCCAGCTCACACGTTGCTCTGGGCTTCATTGCAGTGTGAATAGGACACACAGAAAACAGTTGTTTTCTGTGCATAATAGTGGTGGCTGGCATTCTTCCAGTGTAGAAAAACACCAGCCACTGGACTAGTATGAATTGGCCCTAAGTGCTGCTCCTTTATCTACCATTGTAAGTGCTGCCAATGTTGGTGCCACCATGCTGTAGGCAGATTTCAGAAAGCTCACAGCTGTGTGAAAATGTAAAGGACCTTTAGCTATTTTTTGATTGTTTTCTATATCTGTGTGAAGTTTTGATCAGCGCTATTCTATAAATATCTATTCCTGACTTCTTTAGCAGTTACCATTGTCATGAGTTAAAGTTGATTTTTTTTCCATTATTATTATTATTACTACGAGTTTTATATAGCGCCAAAGGGTTTGCTCAGCACTGTACAATAGGGGGGGACAATACATGGCACAGTACAACAAAGACAGACAGCGTACGAGGGGTAAGAGGGCCCTACTCTTACGAGCTTACAATCTTAACATTTTACATAGATCACTTTTTTGTCATAAGCGAAGAGCACACAAACATATAGTAGAAATTACTTTTTTTAAAAGCTGTATGAAAGTAATCCTTGTGTTGTATGTAAACCATAGGGTCTTCTGCCTCAAAGATTAAATTTAATATACAGAATATGGAATTATTTGACAAGTGTCATTCATTAATAACTATTTCATTGATTTATCAAATACTGGAGTTATGGCTGATTTCTTCAGCTATAACCCCGGTAAACCACTTGAAAACCACAACATTTATATAGCTGACTCTTTAACACCAATGGAGTGGCAAAGGCACTCGGTCTCTAGGATCTCTCACAACTGTCTGTAGATACAAAAGTCTTCAGATGAATTGTTGCCTCCTTCCAATGCTATCCAGACACTTTCTCCCTATGATATCAGACCAGATCCCCAGATGACAGGCCCCTTAGTCAGCTCCAGCAACCTCCAGCAAAACCCAGCTCCCCAGCTCTTCCAGCTGGGACTGCGATCATCAGCCAACATGTGGCAGGTGGCCTGAGGGGGAATAGCAGTCCCCCTAGGCTGTGATCTCCTCAGGTACAAGACCCTTCTGTTCCAGGTCTAAAACTATTTATAAGCTTTCCCAGCAGCCCTCTGTGCAATCTTCCACAGGGATTGGCTGAGACAGTATAAATAGTCATGCTGCTCATTTGCCTTAATCAATACCTATGTTCCAGAACTATTCAGTTAGTTGTAGAATGCAGGAGGAATAATCAAACCTGCAGCCTTGAAGAGAACTGATCTGAACAATCACAGACACACTAATTACAGTGAGCCAAACTAAATTTACCTAACTACAAGAATGCAGCTCCACTGGATACAGTGAGCCAGAGCTACATTTACTTAATCCTATCCTATCTAGAAGGGTGCTACACTAAAATAAAACAATTGCTTATTGTCTTCTTATCAACTTTTTCTTTAGATTTCTTTTCTTAGAGTTGACTATAACAGCTTGGATATAACATAAATACATAACGCAGTCAGTTAATAATTGGTTATGTTCTCTCATTGTAGGGAATGTGGGTATAGCTTTAACAGGATGAGGCCACTGCTGGGCTTCTAACAATGTGTACAGTATATTATTATGAAGATGTGTTCAGGTTCACAGATTTATTATATCATAACCTATTTCAGACATTTTTCACAACCTATTTCAGACATGATTATATTGCTGGCTTCAACAGTAAAAAAAAAAGCCTAGTTCTAACCTTGCATCAGAGCCCAGAAAAGTATAGCTGTTCTTGCTGGACTCCTGAAAAGATATAAGCATGTTGGTGACTCAGTCTACATACAGTTTTATTTCTGAGGTTGGGTTTTACATACATGTTACTAAAGCTTTCTAATGCCCCCTGTTTATATACAGGTCACAGTGAATGTCTGGATGTTTTGATTTCCTGGGGTATAGATGTGGACCAAGATATTCCTCACCTAGGCACTCCTCTTTACGTGGCATGTAAAGGACAACACATAGCTTGTGTGAGGAAACTCCTATATGCAGGCCAGTATGAGAAACTATAAAGTAGAAATATTGCTCCATTTAGATTAAAGACTGGTGCATTTCTATCGCTGGAAACTTTAGGCTTCAAAAACGTAGCCAAAGCAACCACTAAAATGACCTCCTTTACAAAAACATTCCTTGTTTTATCAGTCTAACCTAGTAATACATTTTCAGACAATATGTAAATACTCTAGTGTGAGATGACTACTACTGATAATGGGGAAAACACATAACTAACTAATAAACAGGAAGGACCTCTTTCACTCTGCCCCCTATAGGCATACTGTATATCTACAGTCTAATATTAATTCTAGCTCTGCACTTAATAATTCTTGATTCCGATTGGGTATACGGCAGTAGATTTATTGTGTACTTGTCAGGTTTATGAAAAAAAAATGATTTTACAGAAACTAGAATATCAGTATTGACCTATTATTGCCTACAGAATCATTGCTTAATATAAAAATGCTTAGGTAAGATCTACAGAATCATTACTGAATATAGAAATGCTCCGGTAAGACCTAGGCTGGCTTCACACCTATGCATTACATTAAAATGTGGTAAAACATGTTTTACCCTATGTTAAGGTAACATCCAATTGCCAGTGCAGTGCCATATACATTTAATGGTACCCCATTACACCTTTCCAAATGCACGCCAACCCACTTGAAATCCAATGCACTGTGTTACGAAAAAAAGAGTCAAGTCCAGTTCTTGATCTTTATATATAGTTACAGGACCCAGCATGGACCAATGTAGCTATGCATGTACCATACCTGTGGGATCCCTCTAGAAGTTGGAAATCACTGTACAAGACAAAAGAAATCTGGATGGCCACACTCCCAATATGAGATCCAGTTTTAGTGAGAAATGCATTAGTCTCTACCCTCCCCTGTTTGTACATCTGTGTACATTCTATGGATTGCTTGAATAAAGGTGTTTTTGGATCTCATATTGGGAATGCGGCCATCAGGATTTCTTTTGTCTTGTACTTTGCAGCTGCAACTGGGTGAGCACCCCAGACCACAGAGATCTTGCTGTTGGTGCCAGCTCACCTTTGAGCAGTGTACATATGTGTTTTTGGAAATCACTGTAGTAGACACTGCTACAAAAGGGATCTCCACTAGCCTCCAGGTCCCATGCCAAATGACTGCCCTGCTGTATTTTGAGCACAGAAAGTATGCCACTCATCATGGATGCCATTTAGAGTTCATTTGCATTCTCTCAAGAAGTGTAAAGCATTCTCTGACTGGATGAGATGGAGTGCTGGGATGGTGATGTCACACTCTCCACCTCATCCAATCAGAGAATGGAGCCAGCAGCCAACCCCCTATGTTCCCATTGCAGCAGAGCAGCAATATACTTCAACTATGTTTTATCTGTTTGCTTAATTTGCCCTATATGCAAATTTAAGCATTAACATTTCGCCTGAAACATCATTTAACATGAACAAATTCCATAAATCCTAACCTTAGAAGATACACTCTTGTTTAAATTAAAAATTAAACCTTAAGGTGCAGGGCTGGGACAAGGGGTGGGGTGAGGAGCGTCTGTCCTGGGCACAATGGTTTATTGCAGGGATGGGGGCACCCTGTGCTGAGTTTCTTATCTTACAAGGCTGACAGGAGTAGTCGGTAACATCGCTACTCCTGTCAGCCCAGCACTGGGAGTAGCAAGGAGAAAGCTAGGAGATGGTGTGGGTTGCAAACCCCCTAAGCGGATCCTCTAAGCTCGCACAACATGAATGGGGGGCAGGGAGCACTGTTTGGCATCTTTGCTCTGGACACTGGATGACCTTATTCTGGCACTCTTAAGATGTATGCCAGGAGTATATCCTACCTGTTCAGTACTTCAGTTCTCCACCTAGGTATTGCTGTATGCATCATTCTAACCTGGCCCGATTGTGGGTCATACTGGAACATTCCTTGCTTGCTGCCGTTCTCAGAAATCTTTGATGTTAAAAAAATATGGCAAGACGTTCCTCACAGAGTCAGATTTAAACTTGAATGTATTTGGTAATGCAGGAAGCATGGAGAGAGAAAGGTACACAGCACAGGCTTCAGGAAGTACTGATGCTGTGGGGTGGTCTGCTTCAGGAAATACATTTTTTTCTGCCCATGTGAGGTGGCCTGTGTATATTGTGGATGCAGTCAATTCAAGAAAAGTCATATTAAGTAAAATGAGTGGATGCTTTGATTTTAGCACAGCTGAAGCATTTGTTGGATAGCATAAGTAGCTCACCAAATAACATTACTTGTTGCCAATACTGCTCCTTATTCTTAACACTCAACACATTAACTTTAACCTCATTGCCTTGGCTTAACCCCTGAATTGGCTGAAGGGCTCAGGAGCTACAAAACTAAAGCACATAGTTGTGCCCCCAAATCTGTTGCTAATAATTCCCATTGGCTAATGCATTTTATATGATTTTGCTAACCAATAGCTTTGTGCAAATGTGACCACTTTACTATTTTAAGTGAACTGAGATTTTAAAATATACTGACAGTTTTATTTTATTCTAGGTGGTAATGTGCAGCAGGGAAGACACTTGGATACACCCCTACATGCTGCTGCTCAGCAGGCCAGTACAGACATAGTCAGTCTATTGCTGGACTTTGGTGCTGACATTAATGCCAGAAATCTAGATTTCAAAAGGCCAGTTGATGTTGCTGTTCCAAGAAGCCCAGTGGAAAGACAGTTACTTTTATATGAAGGTGAGCTTTATCTGTTAAAACAGGGCATATCTTTTTTATTAAAAGAGAAGTGTAGCACTACTCCCCTTAGGAGTCGCAAAAGATTTGGTTCCTCATGTAGTCCTGCACAGCCAGGCCACATGCATTTTTCACACAGACTTGCATACAGAGTCAGTAAATAGTCTTTGAGCTTGTTTTTTTTTATGTTTTATTAAGGGGTGTTGAACTTAGATGGGGTAAGGGGTGTACAGGATGACCAATGGAACTGCAAATGAGGACAAACTCCTTAGCAATTATGTACTACTAATGAGGACAAACTCCTTAGCAATTATGTACAAGTCTTTATACAGTAGAACTTCTTCTTGGAGAGCTCCCCAGACTTTTCTGGTGTACCACCCAAGACCTCAGATAATCCTCCTCTTATCCAGCTGCCTGAGGGAATCCCTGGGCAAGGGAATCCAGAGCCTGACACCTTAAATGAAATGGTCCTGGGTAAGGAGTTAATCAGGTTACCAATCAGAGTGCTCTTTTTCCCTTGTTTGCCCCAGGGGTGTAGGACTACTCACTCAGTCTCAGTCCTGTGAGCAGATTTAGGTAGGTGACTGCCTTCAGGTCTTCTCCTGGGCGTGCTGCTTGCCTGGCTCTACAGGTGGTCCTCACTCTAGAGGCCATTGAGGCTGAGAGATCCTCCTTTCCAGTGCCCTGTAGGTAGGCCCCTTCCCACTAAGCCCCCTCCCAGGCTCCTGCATCTCAGCTTCCTCACATTTTCCACCTGAACTCTCTCCTTTGACGAGGATCAACCACTTTTAAGGGCTATCCTGACCCCATGCCAAGCCTCCTGCTTGGGGATTGGTCAGGGTCCTCTAAGTGTGCAGACCAGCCCCTCCTCACCCCTAACTACTGCTTCTAGAATCTTCTCCGGAATTCTAGAGCAGGGGGAGGTAGGGAACTGATCTGCAGAGACTCTCAGTCCTAACCCAAATTTGATCCAGCCGACTATTGCCCAGGCTGTCTAAAAACAGTCAGCTAGCTCCCCCTAGATAAGTAGGAGGGTGTTACAGAAGTATGTTTTTTTTTTTTTTTTTTTTTTTTTTTTTTTTTTTTAGAAATCATACTTACCTAGGTGGATGTGGCATCAATCTGCTGCTGCATCTTTCCCCTGCCGACTCTAAGACAACCAAAGACTGCTGATCGCTCAGTTCTCTCAGTTCTCAGTGCTCTGTGTGCAGAGAGCTGGTGACTGTCAATCACCACTGTCTGTTCTGCCACCCCCCATGCTCACTGGAGTGCTGGGTTGTGGAGAGAGTGGGAGAGGCTGCCTCAGGCTCTCAGCAGATCGCTGAGTGGCTGAGCCAGATGCTGGTTCAGGAACCTGGATGGATTCCGACCATATGGTCCGGATCTCTTCCCAGCCTGGGCGAGCCCTGTGATATCAGCCGACAGCAGGCCATGTCACGTGAAGAGCCTCCATCGAATGTATTTTACACTTTTGATGGGCAGCTGAGGGATAGTAAAACCATGGCTCAGCTATTATTACTTAGTGTTGCTGTTGTTTTTCTCTGCTGCGAGTAGGTGTCACTGTGTCACTGGTACCTCTGGCAATAGTGAAATGCCACAGTAAAACTAAGTTATGCATATTTATGTTCCCTCTGGCCAACCAGTTTATTTGCACTGGTGCATGCTGGGGGAGATCAGAAATATTTGGTGTGAACGTTGGGAGATCTCTCTTTGCCTGGTCTACAGCCTGGGGAGAGTGTGCATTATGCAGCTGGGTGACTAGGCCTGGGAGCCAAGAGGCTTTTTCATGTGCTTGGTGCAAATGCCAGGATTTTTAAAAGTGTACAAGGATGTTGAAAATATTTGCCTTCAGTAAATCAACCCCCTGTGTTTATAAAAGTTCTTCCGTGCTGCATTTTTCATGCATTGCTCTGCTTTGCATCATAACCTCCATTCAGTTGATCAGAATGGTGCTAACCAGTCCTAAAAAAGATCAGAACTCTTTATAATATTTATTATTATTGGAATACCATTGGGTCTAAAGATCAATATTACATGCAAAATGTTTTCACCATTATGTACATGTTGACTGTAAAATGACCATTTTTTTTTGCTTATTTTGTTTAGCTAACCCGTGTTCGCTGTGCCAGCTGTGCAGACTTAGCATCCGCAACTGCCTTGGACAAGCTAGATTACATCTTATTCCACACCTACAACTGCCTACTATGCTAAAAGATTTCTTGCAGTATCGTGAAAGTATAAGGAACTTTTAACAGCTGTATGCAGCCTGGACCTGCATACTGTATATTAAACCTATTTTTAAATCCCCATTTCATTTAGCAAATAGCTAACACATTTTAGATGTTTATTCAGTGCTATACCTCTAGAAGTAATACTGTGCACTTATAACTGAAATGAACACTTTGCTTAACTTGAAATGATTTGACTGTTATATTTTTGTGTGTGTGTATATACTGTATATATAAAAGTGATACTCTCAAAAACACTGCTAAACTCCTCTACAAGTTTACAGAGAAACATTCAAGCTCTTCCTGTCATGAACAAAATGTATTACTCAATATGGCTGCTTTCACACGGGGGGGGGGGGGGGGGGGGGGGGGGGGAATCTGCCTGCTCAGCAGAGGATCTGTAAATTGACCCTGCTCAGCGGGTGGATGACAGGTCCGTAATTGCTCTACTTATGCAAAGTGGACACGGACACAGCCTGCTTTTTGGGCTGTTGGATGTAAATGAACCACCTGTCCGTTTACATCAGACTGTCATCCAATCCGATCCGCTAGTCGGATGGGGAGCGGATCCCTATCTGTTTTGTTTTTAGCAGAGCAGATACAGGCGGGTCTAAACAAACACATGTTCCATGTTCCATGGAAGGCAATTGATGGTCTGATCGAGTCCATTTGAAAAACGGGCAGCGAACCCAATCAGTATGCCCAAGTGAAAGGACCCTAGAAGATTCACTGAGCATAATTCTACAACAGAGTACCTACAAACATATTATTTCAGCCCAATTCTGCTGGTTCTGGTAGTATTGGAAAACAATCATAACTTGTATTGACAACATCAGATCTGTTTCTCAGAGGCACAGGTACAGTATTGTGATTATCTGTGAGCACATTTTGTAAAAAAAAAAAAAACTGTGTTTCCATGTTGCAAGTGTACCATTACCCTCGCAGGAGCCGCTTTTATTTTAGCCCAGGTCCCCCTTTGCTTTGCCCCCGCAGCCAGGCACAAGGTATTTTCTATAGCCAGGTGTACACACACACACAGTTTTGCTCGCTGTCTTCAATGACCAGTCTAGGGGATGTTGTTTTTGGAGTTTTATTGTAGAACTGGGGATGGGGATTGGGAACTTTAGTAGGATATTCCAAGATTAGAACTGTTTACATCAGAGGACATCTAACTGATCTCTTAGTTAGGCACAGTTGAAGTCCTTGCTGGAAGCAAATAGAAGACTTCCCTTTTAGACTGTATTAACAAGCAGGTTAGAGTTGAGCAAAGTCCCTTAGCAGTAGCAACAATTGGACAAGCTCTACAGAACACTAGCCAGTGTTCCCTTTTCTCAGACCCACGCTGACTATCAAGCACCAGAGGGGTAGCCAAGCACACAGAGTCCCTAAGATCTCTCAGTGTCTGTACTCACAATGCTCAAGGACAGAATGGCAGCCTCCTTCCAATCTTCCCAGCGACACTTTTCAGTGATACCAGACAGATCTTGGCTGAAAGCTCCCCTCAGTTAGTGCACTTAAGAACCAAGGTCATTCTTTCTAGCTTCAGGCCCTCAGGTCACCCACCAGGTTATCTTTCATGCACTATTTGTTTACATTCACCTGTCAGTCGGGAATCCCTAGCTGACAGCTGAATGTGCCAAGCAGAGACAAGTCACTGGTTGTTTGGATACCAGCAGCCACCAGCTCCCTAGTAATCAGGAGGATGTGGTCACATTTAGCAGTGGTGATAATACCACTACTAAATGTTTCACTTCACACTCTGCTAAAAAAAGTATCTGCCTATAGTCACATGATCAGTTTCAGTGCTGAAATAAGGGAAAATTGCTGGGAGAAGTGGTGAGCCAATCAAATGAGCAGGTAACCAGAGTTATGGAGAACTTCTGCACAAAGGATGTGTAAAGAACACCCCCAGAATTGCCATGGTTGGCAAGCAACATTAGGAAACATTATGTTTTGAAGCAACATTTGGTTTTTTTTTTATGGTAGTTTTAGAAAATCACAGTATCAGAGTGAAAATATCATCAAAGTTCACACTTTACCCACGTCATCATGGCATGTGTAAGTCATACTGAATCATAATTTTTTGAGTGACAACATTTCCTCTATCTTGCAATGGATAAAGACAACTAAGAACACAATGGGGTAGATTTACTAAAACTGGAGAGTGCAAAATCTGGTGCAGCTGCGCATGGTAGCCAATCAGCTTCTAACTTCAGTTTGTTCAGATAAACTTTTACAAAATAACCTGGAAGCTGATTGGTTTCTATCTAGAGCTTTCGCCACATTTTGCACTCTGCGGTTTTAGTAAATCAACCCCATGGTCTCTAGCCAATAATCATTTCTAAAAGTCAATTGTTTCCAGTCAGCCGTGTTATAAGAGCATCACAAAGGCTGCGCTCATAATAAAGCTGTGCCCATAATAATTCCAAACTATAACTAGAAACAATATTTTTTTTTATACATTAAAGAATATATAAACCCAACATTTCATATTTCTGATATATTCCTGCTGTACATGCACTATGAAAAAGTATCCTGTTCTATTTGTATTGCTTCCTTTGTGTGAAATCCTTGGTGTTCCTGCCAGTTCCTCTGCTTTCCTATCACAAACTGACCACATCAGGCAGGAGAACACAGCATGGTGAGCTCTCTAGTTGTGCTGGGAACTCGGTGTGGTCTCCTCCAATTATCACACTTGTCCTGCCCCTCACATAGCCATTCAGTGGGAACACCAGCATGCTTCTGTTTCTCCACCCTAACCTCTCTATACAGCTGAGAACAGAGGGTTTGTGATCACCTATAAAAAATATAAATACCTTTTTTCCCCTTTTTTATATCTATACACAAATGTTTACCTTTCATTTCTACAGTATTTTAAACTGAATGGGTTGTTTTACAAGTTTTTTTTTTAAACTAAACCTACATTAAAACAAGTAATAGTTTCCTTTTAATAGCCTGTGCAACAAATACAGTATATACATTATGATATATTAAATTAACAAAAGTTGAGTTTCTGCTTATGTGAGAAAGATGTATAACTAATGAGGTTGTCTCCCTGCCACATCATTCCTTCACACCCTATCTTTAGTGATACACAGCATTTTTCATTTCCATTGCCATCAAACCAAATAGGTCATGCTTTGATTCCATTATTCGGAACAAATGGGGATTACTAATCCATTGACAGCAAAACCAAAAAAAAATATGCCCCACTAGTGGTAGGACAGGACAGGATCAGTGATGCAAATCATGAACAGTTACACTTTTCCCTTCTTTATTTTAAAGGGGAGGCTCCAGAAATGATTTATGTTGGATTACTTAATAAAACCAAACAAGAAACCGTGCAAAAAGTATAGTCATTTATAGCAACTGATATTTGTTTTGAATAACCTGAAAGATGGAAAATTATTTCTGTTTGGTTGCTATAAATTATTAGATTTTTACTCTTAAAAAAAAATCCTGACCATTTAACCACTTGCCCTCCCGCGGATTTACCTCCTTCCTGACCAGGCCATTGTTTGCTTTATGGCGTTCCGTTACTTTAACTGCCAATTGTGCGGTCATGCAGCGCTGCACCCAAATTAAATTTATGTCCTTTTTTTCCCACAAATTGAGCTTTCTTTCGGTGTGCGTTTTTTATTTTAAACACAATAAAAACAATATTTTTGACTTTTTGCTATTAACCATTTCAATACCGGGCAAATTTTACACCTTCCTGCCTAGGCCATTTTTCACGTTTCAGCGCTCTCACATTTTTGAATGACAATTGCGCGGTCATACAACATTGTACCCAAACTAAAATTTTATCATTTTCTTCACACAACTAGAGCTTTCTTTTGGTGGTATTTAATCACCGTCGGGGTTTTTATTTTTTGCTAAATTAACAAAAAAAGACCACAAATTTTGAAAAAAAAAACACGTTTTTCTTTGTTTCTGTTATAAAAGTTTACAAATAAATAATTGTTCTTCATAAATTTAGGCCGAGATGTATTCTGCTACATGTCTTTGGTGAAAATAACCCAAATTAGGATGTATTATTTAGTTTGTAGGAAAGTTATAGAGTTCACAAACTATGGTATAGATCTGAATATTGATCAATCCTGAAGTACTGACAGCCAATCTAATTTTTTGAGGTCCAAGAATGTCAGAACAGTACAGATATCCCCAAATGACCCCTTTTTGCAGAGTAGACAGTCCGACGTACTTCATAAGAGGCATGGCGAGTTTTTTGAAGTTGTATTTTTTTTGTCATAATTTTTCGGAAAATGAGAAAACTAAAAAAATTATTTTCACAATTTGTTTTTTTACATACTGTCACCAGTGCAGTACAGCATCATCATATAACTGGCATGGTGGTGAACAGGGACACAGACTGGTGACAGTATGAAAAAAATATATATATATATATTTTTTTTTTTTTTTTTTTTTTATTATTTTTTAATTTTTTATTACATTTTTTTTATTTTTTAAGATTTTTTTTTCATATTTTACTATGACCAAAGTAGTACAATGTTACCATAGTAACATTGTACTACTTTGGGGAAGTGATCAGTATTTTTTTTTTTTTTTTTACACGATTTGCTTATAGCAAAGAATTACTTTGCTATAAGCAAGCATTTACCTGAATGACATCGATTCATTCAGGTTTTTTTTTTTTTTTTTTTTGTGCTTAGCTGTGATTTGGTCACAGCTAATCACATGACATGTGCATGTGACCTGCTGTGACCATTCACAGCTAGGCACTAGTATACAATGGATGGCATGAATGAAGCCATTCATTGTATACAACTTTCATGTGACCTGCTGTGATTGGTCACAGCAGGTCACATGGTACCAGCAACGGGGGCCGGTACTCAGATCTGTCATCGGCCGTGTCCGAGGTACACGGCCGGTGACAGATCGCACCGCTGCGCGGCTCTGCATTAGCGCAAACTGCGCATGTGCGGGAGCACGCCAAATGGCGTGCACCCGGAATGCTGAAGCACTTTTGAAGCCGCCAAACGGCTATTGGCCGGGCGGCTAAT